AAAAAAAAAAAAAAAAAAAAAAGAATAGTATAAGAAGGAAAGAGTGAGATAAGACGTTTCGGTTCGTTAAGTCATATACTCCTTAACTCAACACCGCGCGACAGGACCCAAGTCAGTATAAATAGTTTCTCATAGTTCTAATTTTTTCGCTATTTCATTTTCTATGAATTAACGCGAACCAGCAAGCACACGCCTGCGTTACTCACTAAGTCTGATAGACAAAACGTCAGCAGACCAGCTTCTCTCCCGTCCCCCTCCTCCTCCCCTCCCCATCTCCTGAGACCCCCTCTCATCCGTCCTCTCCCGCAATCACTTTCAACGAGAGGTGGAGACACTTGGAAGAAGAACAGCAACCATCCTGGGCCGATGGGTTCCACATTAGAGGGATGCTTGAAAGCAAGCTGATTTCCATAAAATCGACAGCAAAAACTCCACTAGCATATAAAAAATCGAAATAATAGCAAAAGTATCTATTTCTTCTACCCCAATTTTTATATTAAATTCGATTTCTTCCTGAGCTTTCATATTCATTAAAAATTTACAAAAAAATCGAAGTCCGCAAAAGAAAAAAAAACGAAAAATTTCTTACCCCATAGCCGATTTATGCGTTTTCTCCCGTTTGTAGCAAAAAGCACTCGCAGAATTCCAGGAGCAATACGGATCCACAGCACACTGGGCACATGTATCATAGTACGAGCAATGCGTCAGGAGGTATTGCAAAACGGCATCCGTGCTTGCCACATACAGAAATTCACCCGGTAATAACGTCACTGCATGAACATTCCCCGAAAGTTTCAGCGTGTAAGTGGCCAGTAATTTGGCCCTAGTGTCAGCGCCTTCAAACCAATGCGCAACTTTATACAGCCTTGCTGAACTGAAAAACATATCCTTATTCGATAACGAAACTGCCAAAATGATAACAAATATGCCACTGTTCCAGTTTATGCTCGCTGCTTCTAATATGCATGCATGCACGTAATCTCTTCAAAGTTCGGCTAATTTTTTGCGAATACAATTCACTGACAAGTAACTTCCTCCTACTTCATTTGTCACGTAGTGTGTCAAATAATGATTTACGGTTTTTTGTTAGAAATGGCGTAAGGAACAACTGCGTCACTATGATGCAATACCCCTGGTCCTCGGTTCAACCTTTGGATACCCCA